GRAAAAAAAGAAGGGGGGTGCACTCTGGAGACCATTTTGACATTTGCTGAGCCCACCAGTGCAACTGTCAGCCATCAACTGATGTCCTTGGGATTGTCTGTAATGAAGCTGTCCACCATCACAGCCAGCAAGGCTATTTATAGACGAAGGTAGCACCCACTGGGGGAAAAAAATTAGGTGCAGGCAAACACACACACACACACACACACACACACACACACACACACACACACACGCACATACAGTAAATGTATATTGATGAGAGTCGTGCTACTGGCAAATGGGACTTTCCATCTATGTGTGGTAGTTTACATGAACTTAAATGTGGGTTTTTTTGTCTTCTCACTTCCTCTTTTGTATATTTAACCTMATGGTGACTTACTCATGGTTTTTATTTATCAGAATATATTGTCAGAGATGTCAGTCACAATATTATAAGTTTTAAAGTTGTTTTTTCCGTATTTTTTTTCACTCAACAAACAAAATATATAYGCAATAATAAAATTAAAAGCTTGGCATTAACCAGCATYTAGAATTGAGTCTGATTTATTGACRTGAACCAGTCTCTGACTCTGGTTGTACAGGAATTAAAGGGCAGTAACTTGCAAAAGRCTTCAGAAGCACCAGCAGGACACCAGTTTAAGGGGARGGGTGGGGTATTGTGCAAAATTGACTTTTTTATCTTTATCAGGTTCTAATGTCAATCTCTCATCAAAAACATACCCAGAGYGTTGYTTTGACTCATTCATGCATGTTTGAGAAATCCTTGAATCACTTGTGATAGTCCTGTGGAGCTGCCTAAATAATTGCTGGTACAAAGCTCCGCCTATTTGTCCTGGAGCTCAGACTGCAGCCCCACAGAGCACCCCTYCCCCTGAATCCTTGTTGTGAAGACGTGCTGAAGTGGGAATGTCAGAAACAGCAGGAGGTTCTTAAAGAGATGAAGGCCAATTGGTGGTTACATAGGTTTATACATTTATTTTTTGATACGCACWTCTTCATTACAGCTGAAGGCAACATAGTCACTTGCTTGTATAATGAACTTATACAAATATGCCCCTCCCCCCAAGGAAAAAAAAGTCCATAAAAGTCCTGAACACTCCAACACTTCCTGGATTTCAGTCTGATTAATTATCAGCAATATGAACCAATCTCTCACTCTGGTTGTACAGGAACTAAATGACCCTTAGTGGCAAGACTCAAACTTAAAAAAAAGCACCAGCAGGACACCGGTTTAAGAAAATTTCAGTGGGCCTAATCCTCTTCTGTAGTATATTTAGGATCTCAGCCACAGTATTTTACATCTCCTAAATTATCAGCCTCTCACATCTGCGCCCAAACTGCTTTGAGACTGAGAACATGTGAGTTGCTACTCCTCTTAACGTATTAGACACTGCATTTGTGGAGGAAAATATGATTCATTTCCATCTTGAGAAATCAGATGATCCTTTTTAATAACGTTTTTGTCACCTTTCCCTGTTTTTATTGACATGTCTGAACAGCAGGCTGTCACTATTCCATTCCTGCCAAACAGATGCTCACAGGACACGGGAGAGCTGAGTTTGGTTGCCTCTTTATCAAGTCGCTTGTGCAGCAATTTGCATTTTTTCCTTCAAGGTCTCTTTCTTTTCAGCTCTGCCCTACTAAAGTCCAGGTGCAGCAAGACAAACTAGGGAGGGTAAACACAGCAAACAGTATCGGAGGAAAGCGAAAAGAGGAAGTTGAGAAAATAGCTCTACTTTCAGCCGATGAAAAATCGTATTGAATATTTCTCAGGACAAATAATTTAAACACTGCTTGTGAACATTTTTAATCAAATCTTAAAGCGTGACATTTTTTCTATTCCTACACCTTTTAAAGATCSGAGTAAGCTTCAAGAGGCCTCGTATTTACGTGAGAAATGAGACGTAGGCTAGAATTTGRGGGCCTTGTGGGCAGTTGTGGCTTGTTCTTATGTAGGAAGTGAACGTGACAGATGTAGACAAATTTACCTCTATGACACAAATCAAATAAAAATAAACTCAAGACTATTTGAGTCATCTGCAGCACGTTTGCTAAAATAGTTTGTTGCATGTCCACTTCGGCGAGCTGTCAGCATTTCTAATTTCGACAACAGAAATAACTCAACTGTGAGCAAAATTAGTTACCTTGAAACCACCGAGTACAACACTAAATGTCAGTGAAGTTGCTGCTGTTTGCTCTCGTTTTTTATTTAACCAAAGCATTTGTAACAAAAATGTACAATTAAGTGACAAACTGATCACAGCACAATGCTTTTTACAGCCTCCACAGATGTTTTCATGACCATCGCACCAAACAAAAAAAAMCACTTCCTCTTCTTGAAATAGTCCTAAAGGAAGAAGACAGATCGAGATGACGAGATGAGTGTGAAACTGATTGGAACTGCCGTCAACGTTTCTCAGTTCCTTTCAAATTACTGGACTTCCCTCGTTTGCTGCAGGCTGTGAGCTCGCTCACACCTCTGGTCGTCCCGGTCTCCACCGCAAAACATCTCCAACAAGGTAGGTGGCCCATTTTCTCCTGTTTATTTTTAGTTTTCAAGCTTAAAACACAGGTGTCCCACAATACAGATGTTTGCCTCCGAAATTTGAGCTTTGCATGTTTTCCATCRGAGCTGACAGTATAGTGCACATGTATGGCGCCTCGTTTGACTCTACACTGAATCAATATCAGTTAATCAGACCGCWGTTCGAAGTGGCAAGTTCTGCAAAGCATGGCATATGTTCGTGCTGACTACCTTGGAAAGCAATTTGTTTTTTTCTGTTTAATCAGACATTTAAAGGTCATATGATGGCTTACACACATATGTACAGATGTAAAGAAATAAACTAACAGCAGGCTCAGTCCAAAACGCTTTCTTTCTTTTTCATAATTTTTTTCCCTGTCAAAAATGACATTTTGTCATCTTCTTGGCTAAATTTGTTTTTAAAGACAAGAAGCTATTACACCCTTTTATTCACTCATGTCTGGTAGTTTTACCCCTTCAGCACCGACAAGCCTCTTTCATGCTAATCTACATTTAAATAAACCTCTAAAGGCTAACTCCGATAGAATAAATAATCTTTGCAAGTTCACCGTGTCTATTTGGTTACAAGTAAATTTTCATAAAACACTTAAAGAAATGGTAAAAAAAATTAACATTTCAAAAAAAAAGTATGTGGAATTTATTTATTACAATGAGTTTGTTTGAGGATAAATGGAACACTGTTAAAACGCTTAATGAGTTTTTGGTTTTCCTTGTAAATTTTTGCATAAACACCTAACAAAAGCCAAAATCCCTTACACCAATTATCATGCATGGTGGTGAGGACTCATGGTGTGGGTTTGTTTTGAAGGCACCGATCATAGGTGTCCTGCTGTTATTAAGTTAACCATGAATTCCTCTGCAACTAAAATACTTGAGAAACATGCTGTAACATCAYGTCCGATAGCTAAACTTCAACTAAAACCGGGTTTTATGTCACACCAAAATTCCTCCTCATTGTTTATTAGTGAGAGCTGAAGAAAGTCACATAGAAAA